AAATCTATGGGTATCTGTCATGCTTACAGTTGTCCAAGATTTACTCTCCAAATTATAGAAAGACCAGTAAATTCTCTAATTTTCATGCAGCAACACTGACTAATACAGCAGTTTTTACATTCCTTGATACAAATATTAATTAGAACAACACTTTTGTAAAGTATGTTAGTATTATTAATCAAGATCTAGAAAAAATTCATTTTTGACTCAGTGAACATTCTTACAATAATTTATGCTAAGGAAATTATCCAAAGAAATGAAAATAACAACACAGTGGAACATGGTTTGATTTGAAATGCCAATGAATTAGAAAGAGACAGAGGCTCACCAATAGGGAAATGGTTAGGTCAGTAATGACATGCCTGTGGCAATCAGTTGGACACCAGTATTTTTATATGATACAAGGTCAGGGAATACACAGAATTTAGACAGAATGTCTATTTAGACAGAATGCATTTTTTTTCTTAGACTGAATATTTAGTGTTTTCTCAATCTCTTCTGTTGCTCTTACAAAGTACCCTAGGCTAGTCAGGTATAAAGAAAAGATTTATTCTGTGTAAAGAAGAGATATATTTCTTTAGTCCACAGTTTTGGAGGCTGACAGTCCAAGGTCAGGAAGCCCTGTCAATTTCTCCTCTGGTGAAGTCCTTCAGGCTATACCACAATGTGGTGGGGATGTTATGGTGGTAGCATATGCATGATGGGAAAAGCAGTCACATGTATAGACAGAAACTAAACAGGACAAAGGTAGAGAAGGATCACACTTGTTTGTTTCATAGTAACACATTCTTATGAGAACACACTGCTTCAAGACTCAATCCCTCCAAAGACCAGCACTAACCTGCTCATAAAGGTAGAGCTTCCTTGGTCTAATTACCTTCCACTAGGTCTCACCTGTTAAAGACACTACCATCTCAGCACCATGACCCTGGGGTCAATCTTCCAGCACATCAGCCTGCCAAGGATGCACTCAAACCATAGCCCAACCATTGTCATTGCCTGTGGCAAATGATAAATGGAACCAAAAAGACATAAAAGCTGCTCTAGGTATGTTCTCTGGGGCTACCACCATTGGCAAACTATTCTAAAATGAATAAAATATGTATGAGAAAGTTTATGTAGAAATGTAAAAGAAACCTCATGATATCTTGTTAAAGAAATAGAGCAAAATACAAAATCATGTCTATGGTCTGATTTGTACAGTAATGTAAAATATTTACTGATGGGTTTTCCACCTTAGCAAAAATTCTGCGAAGTGATCATGGCAGTGAGCCAATATGGCATGGCCCACTGGAGGCCATGTGACAGGCTCCACCTTCCTCCTCCCCAGTCATATTACAACTTCCTACTTCCTTTTTTACAACATCCTGCTTCCCTCTTCCTGCCCCATGTCCAATCACTGCCTGCCAAGTCACACAGACCATCCCTTACACCCCACCCCCAGCCTGGCCCTATATAACCTTTGTTCCCTTGGCCAGACCCTCAAAAGCTCCACCTTCCTCCTTTCTGCTGTGGTCTACTCCATACCCATAATCAAGGCATTTTTTACTTTGCTCTGTTTTTACTTGCACCAAAAAACCTAACATTTTGGTGCCGTGACTCGGGGCACGCTGTGTGGCCCTACAAAAGGAGATTATCCTCCCTTTGGTTAGGCCCTCCCTGCCAATGAACCACTTTTCCTTTTCTCCTTTGGCCTGATATTTGCTATTGCAAACCTCCATGCAACACTGGCCAGCTCTGATTCTCACAGGTGAGCCTCCTTCCATTCTGAGAGTTCCTGGCTCATTTTCTCTCCTTTTCCAAAAACTGTGGGTCCACATCAGGACCCTTTCTCTTCCTTCATGTCCATCAGGACACCAATCTACCTCCTCGGTGATGACTGGGAAGACAGATTTGGGCATTTTATCCTCTCTTGCATCCCGGCAAGGGTGACGATCCTCCCTAGGGTTTTGAGATCTGGCTGTTAAGTCTCCAGCTCACCTTCTTATTTAGCCACAAAATGGGAAATACTAATTCCCACCCTCCAAAAAACACTCCACTCAGCTCTTTCATGGCCAATATAAACATTTTGGGCTCAGAGACATTGTTAAGCCAAAATTACAAATTTTAGTATCCTCAGAGACCTACACAATTTCTGCTACTTCATTGGTGAATGAGATAAAATCCATGTACAAGCCTATATTGCTCTCAGGGCACATCTTTCTCTCCTTCAGCTTCCTAACTCAGTTCCTTCAATTTTAAGTCAGATTAACCAGTCTAAAAGCAAATATAATTAAAAAATTATTTGCACTTTAATAGGTAATACACCAGAATATACGGGTGGGACAATGCACATAGGCTAATAAAAGAGAAAAAAGAACACCTGAAAAGACAGCTGGCCTGATGGCTAAGCTATAGTGGAGACACAAAGCCAAAAGACAGATATGCGTGCTGAGATTACAGAGAAAAAGAAGCCTAAGCTGTCCTCCCCGCTTTGGGAACCCCAAGGTCAGCCCTTGTTTGAAGGTCGCCAGCCTGACACTGCCTCCAGGCAGCTAAAAGACAAAACAACTTCAGCCTGGTGTAAATATCCAAAGTCAAAGGAAGTTTTACTGGAGAAATCAAATTACAAATTTTAACTAATTGGCAATTAATCTTCTGGTTTTCAGTTTGAGTTTGGTGCATAAAACTTTTCTGGTACATTACAAAGTTTTGCATTTACAGGGTTAATTTACTCTTTACTCTGTTGTTTTAAAATAAGAACAGTGATTCAAGGTTACTCAGAGGTCTATTGGCAATCAGTCAAGTTTACTATCTGAATAAAACAGGGACACTTTAAAATTCAAGTGGCTACAGTCAAGTTCGTTGTAAAAGTTTGTAGTGAGAGAGGAAATACATTAAAGAAGGCTATAAATGTAAGAGATACAATTTTGATACTAGAGGATTCTATGATAAAAGTCTTGTCCTGCTAAAGGGACTTTAAAAAAGATAATGACAAGACTAGAAAGCTTATATACATTGGGGAAAGCTTGTGGAAATAGTTTATTAAGGAAAAAAATATATGTATGGTCACTTGTTCATTTGATGGAGCTTGGGTTGTTCCTTCTAAAAATCTGCATGAGAAAAATGGTCAAATCAACCTGAAATTACCAGTCAAATAATAGCCTTAAAAATTTGTGCGATGTATATGCTATGTATATGCCACTACATTTAGAGAGGCTTAAATATTAAACAGCCCAGTCAATGTTACACATTTCTTCAATAACATCCTGTTCAAGGACAACAAATTAAATAAAAGCTTCTTATGTATTAGGTAGGGATAATTGACTAAAAAGGGCTATTCTATTCCAAGATGGAGATTTAAATGTGCTACAAAAATGTCATCATGCCTGTTGTGTTACAATACTATATATGATTTTTTATTTCAAATTTGCTTTGTAAAACTATATAACTATTGTCTGCTAGCAATCTGCAGAGATTCAACTACTAGAACATCCATGATTGATAAGAAGTAACAATTCTCTGGCTATACTTTATATTTCCAGGTGTTTAATACTCAAATAAAATTTTGATAATTAAGTTCACTGCTCCCATTACAATATAATGTCATTCATCTTCTCTTCTAGATGTTCAACAACTGAGGTTTGGAAACCAAATTAGGAAGATAGATGGGCTAAGAGGATAGCCAGTATTTGGCTCTTGGCCTCTGAGGTCAATAAAGACTCAGGACATAAGAGAACCTCTGCTGCAACATTGTATAACTCTTGAGTCCCTGATCTTCTGATCAAGGAGATTATGCAACCACAGAGGAAAATGACTCTATGAGGTATGGTGTGTCTAAGGAGAGTCACCAGAAAAAAGTCTCCCAAGCTTTCACAAAAAACAACTTGGTCAAGCAATGGCTGTGACTCGTCCAAATGGCTGATACTGAGAGTAGAACTGAGAACAGCGTACACGGTTCCAAGGTAAATCATGAAGAGATTTAACTGACCTTGATAGATAACAAAAAGTTAATTTTAATTAATACAGGTCTCACTTTAACTTGGACTTAAACATCCAACAGAAAAGTATACCACAAGATTTATAAAGCAATGCCATAATAATACTAACTTCTCCAAAAAAAATTGGGTTATTCTTCCCTAGAGACTACAAAACTCCAAGTAACCATACAGATAAAACCAACAACAAATATGCTAGACTCCTTTTACTGAAAGCCACCAGATCTTGTCTAGAGAGTGTTACGTGATACATAGCAAGGCCATAACTAACTATACTCAGCAGGTCTTAAGTGAGAGCATAGCTGATCTCTCTCCTAAATAAAAAGTAAAGTTAATAAAACAGGCCATCGTCCAAAACCTAATCAACTCCCTGATAGCAGTTGTGCTCCAGAACCACAGGGCACTGGATGTTACAAGAGCTGGGATATGGCTACGCTGCTTTGCCATCATCATGATGGGATAACACCTTTGGATCATGGACCCCCTTCCTGCTCCCACTCTTGGGCCAATTATGCATGATAATTGCTTTCCTTCTCATAGCACCTTATATTTTTAAACTGTTTTCAAGATTTCTCCAATTCAGGGTGCACACTATTGCTGCCAATGAGCTCCTCGTCTTAGCCAAGACCTTCAGCACCAGCTTCTACATAGGTGGTGCCCTTCGTCCTCTTGCTCCCTATCATAACAACGCCTCTATTCAGCAAGAAGCAGTCTGAGAGAGTCGTTGCCCCATATAACCAAAAGATGGGAATGACAGATTTTCCTCCTTAGTAAAAAATCTTCTAAGTGATCATGGCAGTGAGCCAATATGGTGTGGCCCACTGGGGCATGTGCCAGTGTCCACCTTCCTCCTCCCCAGTCATATTACAACTTCCTACTACCTTTTTTACAACATCCTGTTTCCCTCTTCCTACCCCATGTCCAATCACTGCCCACCTAGTCACACAGACCATCCCCTAAACCCCACTCCCAGCCTGGCCCTATATAGCCTTTGTTCCCCTGGGCAGGCCCTCAGAAACTCCACCTTCCTCCTTTCTGCTGTGGTGTTCTCTGTGCCTGCAATAGAGGTATTTTTTACTTTGCTCTGTTTTTACCTGCACTAAAAAACATAACATTTATGTAATCATTTGAACTAGGTGTGGCAGAACACTAAAAAAGAAGCAGGACTTTTCATGTTATGGAATTGTCAAGCAAGATTTTGTGCTTGCTTTCTTTCAGTGCAGTTCAATGTTGAAAATATTTTTACTTTTCCTACTGTTTTAAGAAGAAATTTAAAAATTGTAACAAAAAATAAAAGAACAACAGTAATTAATTCACTGTATATCATCTTCCAAATAGTTACTAAATAAAAGAAACAAATCAAAAATATTCTTACAAAAAAGAAATAGATAAAAGCATAAAACTTTTCACTGATTTAAGATGAACAAGTAGTATAAATGGAACAATTAGCATACATATTAAAGTAGTTATGGAACAACAAAATACATAGGGAAGTATATTAATTTCTCCATATTTCATATTTATCTCTCTTCTATTTTGTTCTTTATTTGTAT